TTTTTTTTTCCGCCCCCCCCCCCCCCAAATAAGAACACAAGAGAAGCCCGTGTTGGATCATCATCAGGCCAACGGCCCATCCAGTCCCACCCCCCTTCCTCTTGTCTTATTCTTTTATTAAAGTCGCGGTTCTTCCCCAACGCGGCCGCACCATTTTTAAACGATAAAAGGGAAGGAAGCGGGGTTCCCTCTAAGCTGAGTTAGCGTGCGAGCCGGCTCACGGTTCTTTTAGCCTCCGACTCGCACCTTTTTGTCTCCGCTCTGGAGGGATGGCTCCAGGGCAGACGAATTGACGCGGCAGGGAAGTCGCTGGCTCACCACTTTTTTTATGGTTTGTTGTATTTATATGTATCCTATTTTGAGCTGTCGTAAACCCGCCCTGACTCCTGCCACAACCTAGCAGTTCGAAAGCAAGGAATTGCCAAGTAGATAAATAGGCACCGCTTTGGTGGGGAAGGTAACCGCCTTCCGTGCGCCTCTGCGTCTAGTCGTGCCGGCCACGTGACCACGGAGACGCCTTCGGACAGCGCTGGCTCTTCGGCTTGGAAACGGAGATGAGCACCGCAGCCCTAGAGTCGGATTCGACTGGCCTTTGGAGCAAGGGGAACCTAAACCCATGTGGGGAGGGCGGAATATAAATGGAATGAAATAAAACAAATAAATAATGCCAGCAGCTCACAAAGTAGAATTTTTGCTCACCAGACTCCACAGCTGAGAGGGGAGCATTGGGAAGGAGTGAGAGGATCGATTTATATTGGATTCTCTGCCTCCTCTTAAAAGTGGGCTGTGGTTGGAGATGGGGAGGCTGCACCCAGCAAACACCTTTCCTCTTTGTTTTCTAAAGGTGGGGTTCCTCCCCCCTCCATTTTTAGTTGGTAAATGGGAAGGAATAGGAGGATTTACTTATGTTCTGTTGTCTGCTGTTTAAAAAAGTGGAAGCGTTTGTGGTTGGAATTGGGAGGCCCAGGGAGGGCTGCACACGGCAACCACCTTATTTATTTTTTTGAAGGTGGAAATCTCCCCACCCACCCCCATTTTTAAATAGTGAATGGGGAGGAATGGGAGAACTTACTTATAATCTGTTGTCTGCTGTTAAAAACAGTGGAAGCGTTTGTGGTTGGAGTTGGAAGGCCCAGGGACGGCTGCACCCAGCAAACACCTTTCCTCTTTATTTTTTGAAGGTGGGATCTCAAACCCCCCCCCCATTTTTAGATAGTAAATGGGAGGATTCACTTATATTCTGTTGTCTGCCATTTAAAAAAAAAGTGGAAGCGTTTGTGGTTGGAGTTGGGATGCCCAGGGAAGGCTGCACATAGCAAACACCTTTCATCTTTAAAGGTGGGATCTCCTCCCCCCATTTTTAAATGGTGAATGGGGAGGAACGGGAGACTTTACTTAAATTCTGTTGTCTGCTGTTAAGAAAAGTGGAAGCATTTGTGGTTGGAGTTGGGAGGCCCAGGGAAGGCTGCACGTAGAAAACACCTTTTCTCTTAATTTATTTTTTAAAGTTGGGGTCCCCCCAATTTTTAAATGATAAATGGGGAGGAATGGGCGAATTTACTTATATTCTGCTGTTTGCCCTTTAAAAACATGAGCATTTGTGGTTGGAGTTGGGTGACACAGGGAAGGCTGCATACAGCAAACACATGCATATGCACTCTCCCCTTCGGACTTTACTAGTGAGTAATGGAGCATTTATTTCTCTCCTCCCATCTTGCTTCAAGGGGAGATAAGAAAAAAAAAGCCCCAACAACTTGTGGCTAGTTTTAGCCCCCCAATGGGTGTGGAATGTGACTGTCTGTATTGAATTGTCTGCCTTGATACCTTCCCAGAAATGTTTTGGAGGATAGTTATGCTAGTAAAAGTAAATTACCCTTTCAGTCTCCTAGTCTCCGGCTAGCCATGTTGGTCTGCGGTAGAACAGCTAGTTTCCAATCCAGTAGCACCTTAGAGATCAGCAAGATATAGGTTTTCAAGACTCAAAGCTTCTTTCATCAGATACCAAGCTTTGACCTCTGAAAACTTGTACCCCGAAAATAGCATTGGTCTCTAAAGTGCCACTGGACACAAGGCTAGCCTTACAGTCTCTTGTTTAAGTGGTATCTCATTGTGACTCACTTTTTTCCCTCTCTGTAAGAAGAGTGCATCTGAGTAGACGTTGGTTGCTGACTTCGCCCCGTGGAACCATGTGAATGACCTCCTCTCCAGATGTGGCCCATAGTGCATGAGGCTAAATCTTAGTCTGGTTTTCAGAAAGGGGTTTGAATGTAGTATCCTGCTCTGTTTACTCCCCCCCCCATGTAGTTTCTCACCATGCTTCTGTCACAAAGTGGGTGTTGTCAGTTTCAGATTTAGAAATACTATTAATGATGTGCTGATAAAGTCATGCAGATAACCAATGAACTGCAAAGTTTGGATGCCAATTAAATAGCCATATCTTGAGTTTTATTACTAATCTCTGTTATTTTAGTGGGTGGGGAGGGAAGAGGGTTTTGCATGGAATATAGTTGGTGTGTTAAGTATGTCATAAAAATGTACCTTCTATGTTCCAAATGGAGAGCTTCTCCATGTCACTCTTCTGTTAGATAAGATACTGTGGTGAGTACTCATGTCTAAACCATGATTTAGAAGATAGTGATAACCATTGTTGCCTAATTTGAGTATTATGGTAAACTAGTTTAAAGAAGTATAGAAAACGAAGGATTAGATCAGGGTATGAGAGTAGAAAAGGGAGTGCATAAGCCCACAGTGTATTTCAGATCTTCCAAACCAGGACTGAGAAGGTTATCTATATTGAGCCATGGTGAAATAACCTGTGTATCCACCTTGCATACTACAGGGTGCATTGAGGTTATCTGCTAGCCCTCTGAAATTGCCCTAAGGGACCCCTAACACTATAGTTCTTTCTTCCATTTGCAAGTGAAAATAAAAGTTAAAATTTATCACCAAGAGAGTAGAACTTTTTGGTAAGAGATTATTAGTAAAGCACTATACATGTGGGGGATGGCTTCTTGCACTGTTCAGTGGCCCTATACTCATTGAGTGTTTGCTCCTCCAGGACTAGAGTTGGTACCCTGCCTGGTTGACTGGTCATATATTGTCAAGACCTTGTTTTGACTATTGTCAAATTGTCCCTGAAGCCAAGAATGCCACTGTTAGGATGCAGCTTATTTTTGATTTCGTTATAGTGTCGTCTATTAGCCAAAGGGGTGAAGGCAGCAGTCTTGGCAAATGTAGCAATGTAGCAAAGGTTCTCCTATTGGCCATCTTCTAGAACTGCAGGCATCATCACACTGGAAGAATTGGTCTGCTACCTATTAAACACGATTACCTTTAAAATTGATGTATCTTTGTAGGTGCTGTTGCTGTGTGTAGCAATGAACAAAAATAATACATTAAAATGTATTTCTAAAATTTAAATTGATTTTTATAAAATACTTTTTGTGGTATGAAATAAATAACAGACACTCGACCCTGCTGTCCGTTTGCAAAGTTTCAAAACATTCAGTTATTTATTTAAAAAACTTTAGTGCTGCATTTCCACCCAGTTAGGTTGTTGGGGGCAGATGAGATCCAGACAAGAGAAAAATTCTGGGGATTTGTGAGAAGGAAGTAATATTCAGTGGAAACAAAAGCAAAACTAATGAACAGCATGTTCCAGAAGCATTGAGGTCTTTCTGATGATAGCCTTTATTAATTTGAGGTTCACAACATTCTCACCACAGAAAGGGGAAACTACCATGGCCAGCAGGGTGCAAAAGAGACCCAGTCCAGGAATTTAAATTTTTTGAAAAAGGTTTTCAAAATTTATCACTGTTTGAAAATGTATTGCCTCTCTTTCTGAATTGTGGAAAATACATATTTAAGGCTATGACCAACAAGAATGCACTTTTATGTAGAAAACTCTGATTTAACAGTCTTCTTCAATAATGATTTAAATCAGTTTGATTTAAATGAAATCCATAATGCTAAGTGTTGTATTAATTTGTAAGCATTCAAACTGTTAGCGGACTTGAGTATTCAAAATAATAGCCAAAGAGAATTGTGCGGTCAGTTCATATTTCTAAAAATCCTGCCTAGTTCTGTTTATCTTTAAAAAATACTTTTCACAGTGTCAGTTAACTAATTTTTGTAATTACCAGGAGCACCGAGCCTGCTAAAATAGAATAAGAGCCAAGTTATCTTGCTGTTCTAATAAAAATTAATGGTTACCAACATGCCTGGTCAAGTGGCTTACTCTAAACGGGATTTTGAAGAACATGCTAATAAATGAATTATTATGGTCTTAAAATAGGTATTTTCCATCTGGTGTTAAGCAATATGAAAAGTCACACTGATAAACAGGTAGTTCTGATTCACAATTTTTTCTAATGAATATGTAATTTGAGATGGGTTCATATAGTGAGCCTCATTAGTACTACAAAGCATTTGTTAGTCACTTGCATTACTCAAAATGCTTCATATACATTATCATAGG